ACCATCACCACCATCCTACCATCACCACCATCCTACCATCATCACCATCCTACCATCACCACCATCCTACCATCATCACCATCCTACCATCATCACCATCCTACCATCACCACCATCCTACCATCACCACCATCCTACCATCACCACCATCCTACCATCACCACCATCCTACCATCACCACCATCCTACCATCACCCACCATCCCATCACCACCATCCTACCATCACCACCATCCTACCATCACCACCATCCTACCATCACCACCATCCTACCATCATCACCATCCTACCATCACCACCATCCTACCATCATCACCATCCTACCATCATCACCATCCTACCATCACCACCATCCCACCATCACCACCATCCTACCATCACTCCACCATCCTACCATCACCACCATCCTACCATCACCACCATCCTACCATCACCACCATCCTACCATCACCACCATCCTACCATCACCACCATCCTACCATCACCACCATCCTACCATCACCACCATCCTACCATCACCACCATCCCAACATCATCACCATCCTACCATCACCACCATCCTACCATCACCACCATCCCACCATCACCACCTATGCTACCACATCACCACCATGCTACCATCACCCACCATCCTACCATCACCACCATCCTACCATCACCACCATCCTACCATCATCACCATCCTACCATCACCACCATCCTACCATCACCACCATCCTACCATCACCACCATCCTACCATCACCACCCATATCCTACCATCACCACCATCCTACCATCACCACCATCCTAGCATCACCACCATCCTAGCATCACCACCATCCTACCATCACCACCATCCTACCATCACCACCATCCTACCATCACCACCATCCTACCATCACCACCATCCTACCCTCACCACCATCCTCCTTCACGCTTTGTTCGTTCCATTCTTGACATCTTGCTTAAACCCTGTCGTTATCTCTCTCTCTTTTTTTTTTTTTTTTTTTTACTCATTTATTCATTATGCTTCATATCTTCACTTTATCATCCTATATGCTTCCCAATTCCTCTTTTCTTCCTGGTTTTCTCTTACTACTATTTATTTTCTACCTTCTTTCTCTCTATTTATTGACTGTTTCTCTATTCTACTTTTTGGGAATAATTATCTTATTTTCTATTTATTCTCGTTTGTCTTTTGTCTCCACTTCTCTTTTTCTTTCTGTTTCTCTCTCCTTAATTCATCGTATCTCTTCCCTTTTCGTAGACATTATCAACGTTAGTATCTCTCTCTCTTCGTTTATTCAATATTCACCTTCTCCCTCCTCCTAATCCCTCCCTCCTTCCTCTTCTTCTCCTCTTCCTCCTATTCTTCTTCCATTTCCCAACCTGTTTGTGTTGTTATCATCTATCTACTTTCTTCTCTTTATCAGGTATTTTCCTTCTTCTTCTTTCTTCATATTCATACAACACAAAATACACCAACATTCTTAACATTCATACAAATACAAAAATACACCGCCAATATTTATTCTCATACAATACAAAAATACCATCTGACTAAACTTGGCTCTTGAATAAATTTGAATTGTTTGAGAGGTTTACAGGAGAAACTTTTTTTTTTCGAGGATGAACCTTGAGATGGATCCAAACATCCTCAGGCACAATACTACTTCTTATTACGCTACTGAGGAGTTTTTACCACAGGATGAACAGCGACATTGACTTTGTTTTGGTGTCAGGGGTAACTTTGTGTTTGATCTCTCTCTCTCTCTCTCTACATTGCTGTACCTAATAACCTCTTCTGTTTTCTTTCTTCTTCTTCTTCTTCTTCCCCTCCTCTTCTACTCCTATTCCTCCACTTCCATTCCCTCTTCCTCTCTCCCATTCTCTTTCTCTCCTCCTCCTCTC